AGGGGGGGAAAAAAAAAAAAAAAAGGCGCGAGATATCCGCAAAGATTAGCAAAGGAAAAAAAAAGAGGGACACAGGGCGAAAATTCACATAAGATAATACCAAAATATGCAACAAAAGGAAGACAATTTCGGGCCAAAGGAAGACGGTCCCGAAGGAGGAACACTACTATAAGGGCACGAGGGGAAAAGGGGAGACAACGAAAGAAAAACCAGGATAAACAAAAAAACCAGGGGAGATAAACCCAAGAACCCATAAGGTCACGGAGGTACACCATAGGTCACGGGAGATCACGAGAGATCACAGAAGATCACCGGAGATCACCCGAGATCAGGAGCCGGAGGACGTCGCGCACCTCGACTGGCACCAGCAGCAGCGCGTCATCAAGCGGCGCGCCACACTCCTGAGGTCAAGGAGGTGTCTAGGAAGTGTCTAGGAAGTGTCTAGGAAGTGACTAGGCGCGCCACACTCCTGAGGTCAAGGAGGTGTCTAGGAAGTGTCTAGGAAGTGTCTAGGAAGTGACTAGGTGCGCCACACTCCTGAGGTCAAGGAGGTGTCTAGGAAGTGTCTAGGAAGTGTCTAGGAAGTGACTAGGCGCGCCGCCCTCCTGATGGCAGTGGGGACAGGGCTCGTCCTCCTCTTCTCCGACCCGATGGTAGACGTGCTCTCGAACCTCGGCGCTTCCTAGACACTTCCTCTCGACACTTCCTCGACACTTCCTAGACACCCGATGGTGCTCTCGAACCTCGGCGCTTCCTAGACACTTCCTCTAGACACTTCCTCGACACTTCCTGGACACTTCCTGGACACTTCCTAGACACTTCCTAGACACTTCGCGCACGGGGCCGTCCTCCCAGAGCCCTCGAGTCCTCTCCTCGTGCCGTACTCACTCCTGTACGGCACAGGCGCGCGCACGGGCGTCCCGCCCTTCTACATCTCTTTTATCTGCGCGCCGCTCGCCTCGAACGCCTCCGAGCTGCTCGCCTCGGTCTCTCGCCTCCGTGGGGCGACCCGCCCGCCCCGCCCGACCGACAGCCTCCAAGAGGCGCCTCACTCGGTCGTCGTAGGTCTACTACACTTCGCAAGGAGTGTGACATCACCCCAGATCACACGAGATCACACGAGATCACACGAGAGCGTAGGTCTACTACGCGCGCAAGAAGACGCGCCGCTCAATCACCATCTCCCTCTCCACGCTCGAGGGGGCCGCCTGCATGAACAACACCTTTTGCCTCGCCATTTTCATGGCGCTCGTCGCGTTCAACCGGCTCGCCTGCCACCTCGCCGCCCGACATCACCCCAGATCACACGAGATCACCCCAGATCACACGAGATCACCCCAGATCACACGAGATCACCCCAGATCACACGAGATCACACGAGATCACACGAGATCACACGAGATCACCCGATAGGCTCGCCTGGCACTTCACCGCCGAGACGCTGGCCATCCTCGTCGTCGAGGTCGCCGTCGCCACTCCCCCCCCCCACCCCCCCACACACACCCACACCCCACCACCACCCCTTCCTCACCACACCTCTCACCCATTCCCCTCCACCTCAACCCTCCAAGCCCCACCCCCTCGCCCCTCACACACACGCTCATACCCACGCGCACTGGGCCTTGCACCTTCGACGCCGTGGGGTGCCCGTCTCTCGACGGGGAGTCGCGAGGGGCTGCCCTGGCCCTTGCCCCACCACCCTCGTGCGTGTGTGGAGGGAGTCGACCTGACCTCAGGTCACCGTCGCCGGCTTTGCGCGCGCGCGGGTGCTCCGCGGCTGGACGAGTCTCGTCGTGCTCGCGCTGTTTCCAGCCTCGATCGCCCTCGTGGCGGGGCTCGAGGCCATCGGCCTCGACTGAGCAGACCGGCGGAGGGGGGCGGCCGACCCACCCACGCCTCCACCTCAGCCGTCG